CACCCAAACATAAGTGGCTAGATAAATATATGCGCTAAAACTTACCGAAGTTCACTAAGAAATGCTTCGTATTTGGAAGAAATTACGGTTACACTCACTGACTGTGCTACGATTGCGCTGCCTAACACTTCAGGGCACTTGGTATGTATGTATACATAAATACACTACAAAAATATTGATAAGGGAGTTCTCTCTGTCATCCATTTGAACGAGTGTTTGAATGACGCCGATTCAATCGCTCGTCATTGAACTGAATAGCTTATTCTTTGTCATGCGTATTTTTGAAAACAAATTCTGAGGCATTTGAAGAGCATCGCTTCTTTCCCACTGAGTTGGTTTTGAAGCATCGGTTGATTCAGCGGGCGCGTGGTGTAGTGTGAGCCATTGTGGTCCTGAACCAATGGCTTCACTTTACGAGCATGATTCTGTAGGCCTGCAAAACTTAAAGCTTCTCTCTCTATCTCTTGCATTGCTTATGAGTTCTGGAACGTCAAATAAAAACAAAAAACATAACGGCTCTAAATTCTCTCGTTTGGTGATTCCACAGTTTTTTTAATGACTGGCAATGCATCGTGATGTTTGACCAGATAATTCTGCACCGCAAAATACAAAGCGCATTGCAAACCTGATGGCATTGCCTGCAAACGTTGCACGACAGAGTAGCTTTACACTTACAAGCCTAGCCATTGGAACGCCTGAGGCTGTCCAGACGATTTTTTTTACAAAAATGAGCCGATGCAACTAGCTTTAAAACGTTGACCTGTAGTTTGTGTACACTTGCCAGACGCGCAGGCTTGTGGAAAGATTGATTGATTTATTAGTATGTGGGGTTCAACGTCCCGAAACCACCAAATGATTATGAGAGACGCCGTAGGGGAGGGCTCCGGAAATTTTGACCACCCGGGTTCTTTAGCGTGCACCCAAATCTGAGCACATGGGCCTACAGCATTTTCGCCTGTATAGGAAATGCAGCCGCCGCAGCCGGAATTCTATCCCGGAACCTGTGGGTCAGCAACCAAGTACCTTAGACACTAGACCACCGCGGCAAGGCGCTGTGTGACAAGTACTGGACGAGTAACTTTCTAGTCGTCAAGCACCAAGAAAATGAATAGTGTTGGTAAGAGTTGAAGATGATCTTTGTTACTCGCTTTTATGACCAGGCCCTGCCGTGGTAGTCTAGTTGCTAAGGTACTGGGCTGCTGACCCACAGGTTGCGAGTTAGAATCCCGGCTGCAGTGGCTGCATTTCCGATGGACGCGAAAATGCTGTAGGTCCGCGTGCTCAGATTTGGGCGCACGTAAAAAAACCCCAGGTGGTCGAAATTTCCGCATCCCTCTACTACAGTGTCTCTCATATACATATGGTGGTTTTGGGACGTTAAACTCCACATATGAATCGATCAAATGATCGCTTTTATGACAGAGTGAATGTCGCTACAACTAATATTTATTGATTTATTTATTTTTATTTATATTGTCAATTCCAAAGATATTGTAACAAAGGATCAATATAAGACGGTGATTTAGTACACTCAAAAGGGCAAAAATACAACAAATGCAACAACAAAATGAAAAAATCTTTACATACGAGCGCATTTTTCAAAACCACAAAGATATTGTAACTTTGCTGGAGTAAAAAAAAAAACAAACGCACAAACACACGTAACACCGTAATAAGTTTGCAAGGCTAACTAGTCAGATGTCACTAGTTTTTAGATTGTAACTGAGGATGTGCTATTCGTAATGAAAGAGGACATGCTATTGCATTCTCTGATTGCAAGTGGGAAGAACGAGAACTTGAAGGCATCAGTGTGACCTTTTTAAGCGGCGAAGGTATGAGAGTGAATATGGCGGATAGTTCTAGCTGCGGATAGCCATATGTAGTGGGACTTGTATATGTGTAGATGACTGTGCAATAGTTGATACATCAGCTTTAAATGTGCCAATTTCGCCCAGTTTTTCAAGGTTAGTAATCCAGCCTTCTTGAGCAATCTGTAGGCAAATCTGTCAAGTTAAATTTGTTGAAAAGGACCTTCAGAGCTTTGCGATGAACACGTTCGATCTTGCTGGTAAGTGTTTTTGTGTACGGGAACCTGGCAGTGTTTGCGTACCCAGGATAGGGTGGATAAGTGCATTGTAGGCGAGTAACTTTGTGTCTGGTGGTGCTTGCTGAGATCGTCTTTTTATAAATAACACTATTTTTCGCAGAGATGATGTGATGTAATGAATATAAGCATCCCATCAGAGGTCATGTGACAAAATGACACCTACTTGTATTATGTTGGGCGACTTTAGAAAGAAAGGCGGAATTATTGACGTAAATGAAATCGAATGAATACATTTTCTTAGTTATGGATAAGAGCGCAGACTTTTTTTGTTTATGTGCATTTGCCGATCATTGCACCAAGCTGAGACTGCTTCTAAGGCCGTAGAGTTCATTTCTTTGTACAAGATGCAGTCATCTGCAAATAACCTGCATCCGACATTAGGAGATGGAGGCACATCATTGACAAAATGTAAGAATAATACCAGTACAACAAACGATACGTTGTGGTACGCCAGAAGTTGCCAGCACGACTGAGGATTCGACATAATTTATTTTCACGAGCTGCGACCTGTATGTAAGAAAAACAGTGACACAGTCAAACTTTTTTTCTTTGCCAAGAGCAAGTTGTAGCTTGAAATAAAGTTTGCTACGTGACACTCGATCGAATGCTTTCGAAGCATTCAGTAGAATAACATATATTTGTTTTTGATGGTCGATGATTATACATCATGGACCATTTCAATGAGTTGTGTTACTGTGGACATGCCCTGGCGGAAGCCGCGTTGAAAAGGAGATAGTATTTTGTGTTGTCAGGATGTTTCGTTATACGCTTTAAAATATAGTGTCCGAGCTGTTTACAAACCATGCATGTTAATGGGATTGGCCAATTATTAGAGGGTTCATTTTTATTTCCTGACATGTATGCGAATGGCTTTGGCTATTTTCCAAGCCATTGGTACGGTACGTAACGACCGTGATCAGTTAAAAAGCAGACATAGGTATTTTGACATCAATTCGGCATATCTTTTGAAAAAGGCATTTAGTGTATTTTCCAGTCCGGAACGTTTTTTTATATCCAAGTTCAAAAGTAAGTTAAAAACTCCCACTCTTTATATGAATAATTGCTAATAGATCTATCGTTTCTAATTTCTATGTGAGGCTGCTTAGCGTCATCAATTGTAAAACTAGACTGAAAATAGCTGTTCAATGCGTTTGCGGAATGGGCATTTTCCTCAGGTGTTTCTTTAGTCATTTTGCGGACCTTGGGATTCATATATTGCCAATATTTGGATAGGGAACTCTTTATAAACTGAGGCAGCCTTTTCTGAAAATAAATAGAGTTTCCTGCTTTTATTTTGTTTATTTCTTTATTTTATTTTTATAACATGACACGTACAAACCATTCAACATTGTTGGAAGAGAATTTCAGCCGACGGCTAAAATGTAAATATCTCGGGACGCTATGAGGCTGTGGATGTCTGAAGGCTTTTTTTTTTCTTTCAAAAGTCTCCTTACGCAATTTCTTTTTAAATTCAAAACCACACATACCCATTTGCGCCGCCTATAGAGACAAGAATTAGGCAGTGGTGACGTCCATGAATCCGGCGGAATAGTCGGCCAAGTCTGAGGCCTTGTGCACGGAGGTGACGATGAAGGTTAAAGGTAAGGCCCGTTCAAGTCCACAAAAAGTATGGGCAGTTTCATCATTGATTAGGGCGTTGCAATATGAGCACGATGTGCAATATGGGCCATGGTACTTCACCACCCGTATTTCTTTTGGTTGAATAATAGCACAAGCCGATAATCGTATTCACGATCATGCTGCTCTATGCCCTGATTAACACCAAAATCTAAGCGCACTTGAAACATGATGTTAAAACCTGGAATAGTTCTTTCGTATACTAATGAAATAACTTTGCATCTTCCTCAGAGAAACTGTGGGGCCGATTTGAAGAATTGCCGAAAATAATGCCCAGGTGTCCAATTTTCTGGTCAAAAGTATGAAGTCGCCAATGAATAAATTTTGTATAAAAAAGAAAATTACACTTTCAGATTCTACCCAGGTCCTTTAACAACAATAGCTTTTATTTTTACCATGCGATTTGGTAATGCTGGTTTGCTGCAGCGAAGGTAATGTTCGTCACATCAATAAGTAAAATAAAACGGTGTTTAATGTTTTTTTAGGCCCGAATGAAGTTTTCGTGGGCGTCATCATCACCATTATGTCTTTTGAACGACTCCTTAAAGGCTAACTCCGGCAATTTTTCTAGGTCAATGGATCTGAAGGAAATTCACTGGGTAAGTTCGTTTGCTCATTTCCGATATTTATGCTAAATTCCAGGCTTGAGAGATGCGTGGATGGTTTGCAAATGAATTTTAACAATAGCCTCAAAAAGCTCACTACACTTGCCAGAATTATTGGCGACACTGTCTGTGTGACGTCATGTTTAGCATGTCAACGGAAGTGACGCGGTTGATGGCATCGCTATTTTGATCCCCACAGCGTTTCATATGCACGCCACATGGTGACGGCCGCGATGTTGGGCATGGGTATACCACGGGAAAGCTTTCTTTCTTCCTCTGTGGTGTTTGATCGCCGCTTCGCTGGTGTGACTTTCGCAGTTTTCATACTCCGCGCCGGCGGGACCAGTATACGGCCTCTGGTTTTTACCAAATAGTACGTCATACGCAGGCCGGGCGCCTGGTTGCGTTTTGGTTTCGGTATTGCACCTTTTTGCTTATTAAAAACTATTTTCAAATTTCTTGTGCATTTTAACTATGGGGGTCGATACAAGGGTGTCTAAGGAACATAGAAACACCATTACCTTGACATGGTCGAAAAATCACCGGAGTTGGCCTTTAAGGTGGCGTTTTTGATGGGACAAAGAAACACTTCGCTGTTTGAAAAACATAATTTGCTGAAGGTATCTCATAGACATGCATATAGTCCTGGATTGTTAAAGTAGTCAATTTTTATTCATCTTTACATAACCGCAATTAGCGTGGTATCATCAATGGCAATAAATATTTTCATTTGCTAAGGTACCTCGGTGTTGCATTAGTTATATCAGGTAAGGTTTCATTATAGTCTATTTCATCTCCAAACAAAGTAAAGCAGGAACCATAGAAGCTGTTGTTCTTCCTAACACAGAAGCAGCTGTTGTTGCTGCAAGATGTGTTTTGGGTGCACTGAAAAATAGAAGAAAATTTATCATCACGCTGTTACAAGGCAAAACAAAAATCAACCATCAATTTTGCTTATATCTGTTTTAATTTCTTTAAAACTTGAGATCAGGGTGACTATTGAGCATATTATTTGACTCTAACATGCCAAATATGCTGCAAGAATAAATTACTATGCCACAGCACTGCTTTAAATTTCAGCTATGTTTTTTAAGCGTAACGTAAGGAATTGAATGTGTCATTTTTTCTTGTGAACATTAACTATAGAGCAATTTGGTTCGTAGGCATTCACCAAACAGTGCCAATGAAGGCAAGAGACTACACGAAGAGGAACGACCGGTACTCTACGTATTATATTCGCATGGCATGTCAACCCGTCATAGTGACCTAGTGCTTGAAACTCGATTGGGGATGCGAACGTCGTGGGATGAAATTCCCGCCGTGGCGCCCGCGGTTGAAATGGAAGTGAGATGCTTTGAACACATGTAATTGAGTGCAATATAAGGAACGTAAGGTGGTCCGAATTTCCGGAGCCGTACACTACGGCGTCTCTTGCAATCATGTCACTGTTTTGAGACTCAAAGGGCTAAAAATTATTACTAAGCTAGTGGTCAGTCACAGAGTACCACTAGTACCACTGCAGCTGTTCTAGACTGAATAATTTGTGACGTTGCACGGTTATTTAGAATATTCGAGAAATTTGCTGCTTTACTGACTTGCAGAATGCACCTTACTTATGAATATTTTGTGGGGATTTCGCATGCCAACATCATGATATGTCTACGAGACACTCCGTAAGTAAGGATTCCTGTCAATTTTAACAACCTGTAGCTTTGAACACGCATATAGATTTAAATACACTGGTAGTCGTACATTTTGCCTTAAGTGAAACGGAGCTGCCGTGACCAGGAATGAAACCCGCGTCATCTAGATTGGCAATCGAACATTTACCTCTAGAGTTTACCTCTGAAACACTTCACCTCTTGAACAGACAGACAGACAGACAGACAGACAGACAGACAGACAGACAGACAGACAGACAGACAGACAGACAGACGGACGGACGGACGGACGGATGGACGGACGGATGGATGGACGGACAGACAGACAGACTGTGACTGTCTGTTTGTCTGTCTGTCTATCCTTTTGTCTGTTTGTCCGCCCTAACGATACTTCAAACGGAACCAAACGGCCAACCCAATCTTCAGCGCCCACCAATATTGCTCAACGTTTAGCGTTCATAGTTGTGCGATTGTCAATTAAAAAGCAATTATTGCACATATCTGAGCCGCCACAAAAACACTCCGTTTCTATGTCTGCCTTTATACTAGAAGAGGCACACACAAGTAGTTAAACTCTAAGTAATGTAGCGTTTAATCCCGCGGCGCTGACAGTGCAACGCGATGCTCAAAAAGGTGTTTCCAACGCTTTGCTATGACGTCACGGTGGTGGCACCTGCCCGTCGCTCTGCGTTCTACACCTTAACACCTCCGAGACTGGCACGCATCTTTCTCCGCGGGCTGCACGCCTTCGTTTTCGAAGATAGCTGCCTGATGGCACTTGTGTCTAACGTGCTTAGATGCGCTCGTTCGGCTCCGTCACACGCTCGAGGCACTCTAACACAGCCCCTGCAGAATACTATTCACCGATTTTCTTGCGCAAAACATCAAATAAATGTTTTGTGCACTCTCTCCAGACGCGAGACTACGGTCTTGCGACGACCTTTACAGTGTAACATGTAGATTCGGGCCAATTCTTTTTCTTTGTATGTGAAGTGCTGCAAGGAGATGTGAAGTGTTTCGTTAACTGAATGTTCACGTAGGGCACACCTGTAAGCTCTCGCAATGGGGCCGTGCTGCGGACCTAGCTTCCACCGATATTGACAATGTGCCGAAGGTTCCAGTGTTTCATTAGCATTCTCTCCGTTTATTAGCGTTCTCTCCGTGATTCGACGGTATATGTGTGTGTCTATACTACTTGATCTTTAGTTGTTGCCCCACCGCGGTGGTCTAGTGGCTAAGGTACTCGGCTGCTGACCCGCAGGTCGCGGGTTCGAATCCCGGCTGCGGCGGCTGCATTTCCGATGGAGGCGGAAATGTTGTAGGCCCGTGTACTCAGATTTGGGTGCACGTTAAAGAACCCCAGGTGGTCTAAATTTCCGGAGCCCTCCACTACGGCGTCTCTCATAATCATATGGTAGTTTTGGGATGTTAAACCCCACAAATCAATCTTTAGTTGTTTCAAAGGCACCACCTTTGGAACGTAAAGTTCCTTCTGTAAAATAGTGCCGTGTACGCTTCCGAACTGTTTGCAGAAGCCTTTTAGCTTGAACACGTTTAGCTGAGCGGCGGTGGCACTCCCCCGTGATAACGTATCGTCCTCGGATAGTGTTAGGAACTGCATAGATTTTGCGTTTTTGACGAGTGCATTTGCTGAGACACCGTCTAGTTGGCTGATAACAACGACAAAATGAATTATGTCGTCGTTGTCGATGACAAAAGGCTCCGCTCATTCAGCCGTGTTTTAGGTTCCGCTGCTCGCACCGCAAACACATCAAAATAAAGCAATGATCCTCGCGTGGCAAGGTATGGCTAGAAAAGCCGTTATTCCTTCAAGGTCGGTAAACATTTAGCTATTTGCGCATAGCACCTCGGGCTTAGCGTAATAACTGACTCCGGTCCCTTTGTTTAGATGAAGAAAGGAGGGCTAGTGCCTGGCGTCGTGCATCTGTTATATATACTACATTGTATTTCTTACTGCTGCTGCGATCATTTCTTGACAATTTTATAATTATGCACCAGTCTCTTTCTTACCTTCCCCTAATTTAATGTCCTTGAAATATGTGCTGCCACTCTTCACTGAAATTAGACGTCTTTGCACACCTAATTTATATTCCTGTTTTGTAGCTTCTCAATAAGGTGCATGTGTAGCAGAAAGCCTATAGTAAAGCGCTTTGTTAATTTTTTTTCTGTGTGTGAGCTTCACTTCAAGAACAAATATTTAAGGACCAATACAGAGCAGAACAAACGCACTCCCTCAGCGAAAAAAAACTGCAGAAGCTTCGCAAATAGTAGGAAAACTTTGTGTGAATCTTTTGGCGTGTGTTTGTGTGTGTGAGTGTGTTTGTGTGTGTGTGAGTGTGTGTGAGTGTGTGTGTGTGTGTGTGCGTGTGTGCGTGTGTGTGTGCGTGTGTGCGTGTGTGTGTGTGCGTGTGTGCGTGCGTGTGTGTGTGTGTGTGTGTGTGTGTGTGTGTGTGTGTGTGTGTGTGTGTGTGTGTGTGTGTGTGTGTGTGTGTGTGTGTGTGTGTGTGTGTGTGTGTGTGTGTGGACAGATGCATGGACGGATGCACGGGCGGATGGACGCATGAACGGACGCAGGAGCGGATGCATGGACAAACACAGGGATGGACGCACAGATAAACATGCGGATGCACGAACAGATGCACGCACGGGCGGCCACACAGACGCACGCATGAACGGACGGAAGCAAGAACGAATGGACGGACGGATGCTTCGCCCCACTCTCCATCATTCACTCCGTAGAGATGCTGCCATTTTTTACTTATCTTTGAAGTGATAATTCTTTTTTGAAGTATCTAATAACGAAATACCAAGTAGTTACTTTTAACCTGGTTGCTATAACTTGCGATTTCCCTAGAAACATTGAGCAGTGGGCCATACGCACTTAAGAGTGTAATGAAAATTTAAGTAAATGCTAACAAATACGCACACACCATTCAGTAGTCTATCTACGGGCAGCCATAAGTTTCGCAGGTATGATATCTTCGTTTTGAGGAGCACCGATCATGGTGCTTATAGGGGTTATTGATGCTCGAATGCAGACCTGCTCTTCACAGAATCAAATACTAGTCGTAGTGGCCGTGTTTTGACCTCTATCGGAGGTGAAAACTTGGCCAGCCAGGAGGCCGAAATATCAGGGGGTCCAAATTTTTGGAGCCTTCCACTGCGGCGTCTCTTATGATCATATCGTGCTTTCGGGGCATTCAGTTTCAACAATTATTGTTATCATTTCGAACAGCTATGGTCCCTTTTGAATATTGTTATGGCCGGTGTCGTGACATTGACAAAAGCAGCAGGTGGAGGCTCCATAATGAAACAGTTTGTATGGTCGAACTTGTTGCCACGAAAGGGAAAGCTAACTGCCAGAGATACGCACTGTGCATTGTGTTCATCTGTGCAAAGGCGCGCACCGGCATTTATATTGATACACAACAGCCGCCATAGCCTTGCTGCACGAAAGAGAAAGACGACGTCGTCTTTCTCTTTACTCGTAACAATATACGCGGTGTCGAGCATTGCAGCATTATCAGTGGTTTCCACGTTTATTGGAGAATAAATTCAACTGCTCGCGTTGGCGCAATGAAGCCTTACAGATGACCCCAAAACAACTTGTAATGCTCCGACACATTCTGGCATTGTTTGCGTAATGCAGCATCTAAAAGTGCAATAAAACAGAAACAGAAACATGAAACAGAAACGAAGGGGCGTGTGGGGCAACAACAATCAAAAGGCTGCATTCAGCATACGCTTGAGCTTACTTACCGTCTCATTACAATACTCGACCTGTATGCCTGCCTCAGTGGTTGTGCTTTCGTGGGCAGAGTCTGGTCTGCTGAGCCCAATAAACCTGCAAGAGTCCAGAGTTTTGCATACTGGTTTGCATAGGGTAAGATGGGCTGAGAGAGAAAGAGAACAACCGGTGTCGTTATGAACCGTGCACCTTTTCCCGTACAATTGATAGTGAGCTGACAGGTGCCGTTAACTTTTTTTTTTTTTGGAGAAAAAAACTTATTTTTTTGTGAACATTGTACTTCCGTGACAGCTTTAGCTTTGGTATTTAAATATCGAGACACGTTATTTACTTTCCTTTGCCTGGCAGCATTCAAATGAATATTTATCACAGTGTGCCTTGTTCGTATGTTTATGTTAATTTAGGAGCGTTGACCAAACGCCCCTGTATAAGGAATGCAGGCTCAAGATTACGCAGCGCCGTTTGCCGTGCACCCTAGCGAAAAAAGGCACTCGGATGGCTTGTGCTTGCTTTGTTTTCCCTTTCAGTGCAAGGAAAACGTGTTGCTTGGTTCTTTAATCTTGCACTTTGCAAAATATGGGCGCCAGTTCTTCGTCATCCTGGATAGCAGTCACGCACTCCTGCCGTAGAGTAACATAAAAATGACAACAGTGGTCACTCGGGCCAAAAAGTGGCTGAGCTACGCGGCCTCACCTCAGCCGTAAGATGGCAACACATCACTTACTCCTTTAAGAAAACACGCCTACTAGTTATTCACTACAGTATCTTATCTAGTGCATTATACGTCTATGCGTTTTTTTTTTTTGCAAACGTCATAGTGGCCTGAATCCGTCTTGATCATTCGCGATTGCACGGTGCGATAGCATCGGGCTGGGGTCAGGCATGAATCGGACGCGAGAGAAGTGCACCTGGCGTCGACGCTACGGCAACGTTGTAGCGTCGACGCTATCTTCGGGTACTGTAAAAATCGTCGGGTACTGTATATATGTAAAAAATGCTCTGCAGGATATGCTGTTCTTACCGAGATGTGTATTTGAAAGGTGGGGTTTATTTTCGTGAAAATGTTTCAGCGCACTTCACTTGTTGATCACATTTTACAATTTTCAAAGCCTTTGCAAACTATACACACGATGTTTCTAGGGCACTACAGAGTTTTGTTAAAAACGTAACAGTCACTCGCCCCCTGTTCTCACGCTCAAATCGTATACGTCAAGTTTTATAATTTTATCTGCACAAAAATAACGTGCCATTACGTGCTCGTTTTCACGCTCAAATTGTATACGTCAAGTTGTATAATTTTATCTGCACAAAAATAACGTGCCATTACGTGCAAGTGCAAAAAACGTGCAACTATAAAAGCGTCTTTGGTAAATTTCTATGGTGGTCTTGATGGAAGTTTTTTATACCGAAAAAAAATGTAGGCAGTTAGTGTTTATCGGAAACTTTCGTTTTAAAGTTTTGAAAAGCTATACCTAATCTGGAATATTATGCATCGAACTGTTATGGCGACTTTAAAACTGTGATCTCTGGGCGGGCAACAAATATGGCTGCCTTGTTACGTCACACGGCAACTACCCCAAAACGAGGGAGCAACGAAATTTGGATCAAAGTGAGTAGAAGTGGGAAATGGGATCGAACCAGTAAGTGATGCGAGAAACATAAGTTGGCTGCTTATCCTTCGCGCGCCCAGTGCAGTACAGCCCCGCCACAGTGGTCTAGTGGTTAAGGTACTCGGCTGCTGACCTGCAGGTCGCGGGATCGAATCCCGGCTGCGGCTGTTGCGTTTCCGATGGAGGCTGAAATGTTGTAGGCCCGTGTACTCAGATTTGGGTGCACGTTAAAGAACCCCAGGTGCTCTAAATTTCCGGAGCACTCCACCACGGCGTCTCTCATAATCATATGGTGGTTTTGGGACGTTAAACCCCAAAAATCAATCAATATGTGTGGTACTTGGGTTTCTTGAATGGTCAGTAGGCGAACACCACCTTTTCGCCCCGACGGCCCCGCCGCGGTGGTCTAGTGGCTAAGGTATTCGGCTGCTGACCCGCACGTCACGGGTTCGAATCCCGGTTGCGGCGGCTGCATTTCCGATGGAGGCGGAAATGTTGTAGGCCCGTGTGCTCAGATTTGGGTGCACGTTAAAGAACCCCAGGTGGTGTTGCGCGTCGCGGCGACCTCAGTCTGCGGGTAGCGGGGCCGATCGCCGTCGCTCCGTCGAGCCAAGGACTAGGGGAGAGCTTTGAGCAAACTTAACGGGTTTATTTACATCTTTACATGGAGTTGTCGAGATGACAGAAGAGAAGAGAAGAACTAGTGGTTTCACAAACCACGAGCGTGGTGGTTAAACTTTACATAGTTCAGAGCAAGGTTTAGAGCGACGTCCAGCACTCTGCCGCGTCGTTTTATGCCCTGTCGGGCTCCTCCTCTACGAGTCGACCACCAATCACGCACACACAGGCGAGGGGGGGCGAGCATGCAAGGTCCACGTGAACACTGCACTTTGGTGGTGCCAGCAGGGCTCTTCCTCGTCGTGTGTGAGCCTTTAGTCGAGAGTGCCCACAATCCTGGCCGCATACTTCAAAGGGTCCGCCGATTATGTTCGCTCAATTAGCGGGGCGATCCGCGGCAGCCGCCGCGGTCTCCCCCAGGAAGACGCCGTCCCTGTTGTCCTCTTGGTGGCGTCTTGGCGACACTACGTCTCCTACTCCGGGACAATGCCTGGCGGGCATAGGCAGTCAGCCGGTCGGCTACTTGACAATGGATTAAACAAGCGCCGATCTTTTGAGAGGTGCCCGGTTCGTGGAATCCTCTGGGGAGAGCCCTTTGACCAGCGCCGTCGTCTGCCGGTTAACGCGCTAACGATGCGTGACTGGCCCAGGCCGGAGATAGAGTGGCGGCTCCAAAACCCTCTTTGGCGACATTCCATCCCGTTGGCGCCGCTGTCAATCAGCAGGCGACGTCTCGTGGGGCCGGCCTCTGTTGCTTCCTCCGTCCAGACGTGGCGAGACTGTCCTTTTTGCACTAATCCGGCGTGGCAAATGACTCGCTGGGTCAAGGCATAGCCCGGTCGCTACAGCTCCTCCGCCGACGGGAAGATCTCGGACGTCGGGTAGTATCAGCTGCTCGACGGGAGAGATCACAGTAACCGCAGTCTCCCAACACCATTTAAACCACAAAGACCAACCACTAGAACCAGCAAGCGCCGGCAATGAGTTTTCGGCAACCAGGCCGGTCTTTCAAATGTGCCACAATGCACCTACGCTTTTTTTTCCTTTTAAATGGCAACCACACTAATACTCTTGCCCATAGCTAAAAATTTCGATTACTCCAAATACCCCTTAAAATCATTACGGAAAACGTCCTTCAACGTTCCGTATAACATGACGCTCAGCTAAAGAATTCAACTGATCCCTGAGCACATACCAAAATAACAAAGGGTAATGCAATTTCGTATACTAACACGCTTATTTGCTGAATGTAGTTTTATGTCAGCCCATGGTTTTAAAGAACGCACAAGACTTTGCTGTGCGCTCTAGCATGACATCTTACTCTCATCCAAAGCGCGCTAGCATACCCACACGCACCTAACCATAGGCGATATCTCTCTCACCTAGGTATTCTTAAACCCTCATCTGAACGTGAATTTTTTTCAAGGAACAAACGCAAGGAACAATCACACTTGATGTACACGTCAGGAGTGCGTAACAAAACAGGCGTTAATTTTGCGCTAAAACTTCTGTACCGAATGTTTATCCCCATGAGCATTTCGAAAATTGCTTTTGTTTGGTTTTACTCTAAAACCTTCCCAAATATTGCTCATTTACTCTATTGAAGACGGCATGCGATGCCGCGCTTAACTAAAGGGCACGAAGCATAGAAACTCCGGCGCCGCTCGACTACGCTACCGCGCTTTCAAAACTAGCGGGCGTACCAAATCTTCATTTGCGACTTGCGTGCTCGTATCTTAAAAAAACTCCTTTCACGCAGTCGGTTGACTGATGCGGGCCACTGCTTCCGCATAACGCTTAACACTTCAACTCGAAATTTTGACAAAGCTTACACGCAAATGAAATCTAGAGGGAAGAAAAAAGTGTCCAAGCAAACTAGCTGTGGAGATGACACAGGAACACCACTTTAAAACCCAATATAATCAAACAAGTATGTTTCCAAAAAAAACTCCTGTGTCCGACTCTCCCGTCTACAGCTGTCGCTCCCCTTTCAGCCGTACACGCGGCGGTCGTGGTCTTCGACTCTGAAAACGCGCGAGACTACAACGTGCACGAGCAACAAGCTGAACTGCAGCGTTACGCCTCATTCGCGATTTTGGCGGGCTTCTGTCAGTTCGGCGTAGGGGACCGGAGCGATGCGTGGGACAGAGTGGCCATGCCTTCTTTGGGCTAGCTCGCGTGTGGTGCTTAGCTATTGTGGCTTTTCCTTTTTTTCTAGGACCCCTTCTACAATCCCGTTCCCGCAAAGCTTTAAATCTTCTGCGTACATTCCGTCGCGGGGATGCGCGCTGGGGCCTACCCTTCCGCCGTTGGAACCTTACTTTAAGCCACAAAGGACCTTTCTTTGAACTGGCTGGTAACCTACTCTTGGGCCGCTCGCCCGGCTGATTGCCCCCTCTTTCACCCCTTCGCTTTGTCGCTCGCGTATGCCTCTCTCGTTTCCGGCGACGTCTGCGACCCACCTGTCCTGCACTGCTGGTGAATTCGTTGCCGGTTGAGTTATCAATGGTTTTACCGCTCAAGGGTGCCTCTGCACCACCTGCCACAGTGTTTCGGCACTTTGATTTCTTGGCTCTGTCGCCCTGTCTGGCCGATTCACCTGTGCTAACGCTGTACTCAGGTGCGCCCTGAAACGTTTTGTGGATAGAACGGAAAGACCGACGCTCTCCACGCAATTCCATTCGCGAACCCGCTTTCCTCTTACTTTTCGTCCGGTCGCTCGGACGCAGGCAATGTAATTTTGACGCTGCTGCCAAGCTCTTATTTGCTACGCTGACAGGTTTTGCGCCTTCTTTTACACGCGTAGTACTGTTCGTCTTTCTCGCGGATTTGCGACGTCTCTTTCGTCTGCGCCGCCTTTTGCGTGTC